CATAATGTCTCCAAGAATAATGTAAACAACTACTGACCCAAACCTTTTGCAAGGAAAAAGTTCATTGAAAAATTGAAAAACTACTACACTCATGACCAAAGAGAAGCACCAGACCCTACCCACCCCAGCAACTCCATAAAAAGCCGGCCCCTTCCTTTGTTCCGGAAGCAGCCTGGTCCCTTATCCATCAGTGCTGTCTCCGTTTAGCTGAAGCCACAATCAAAGTCTTGCCTGTGAATCTCATAATACTCAGTTCAAACTTGTTTCTATTGTTTTTGTACCTAAAGATCTCATCTCTGTTAACACTATATTGAATATAAAATCTCATATCTTAAGCATAGCATATGAAGTTCTTTATAGCCTATCTTCAAATCATTATCGGTTTCCTATTTATACACACCAATTCTCAAACCACACTTTTTTCCATCTTCCAAGACTGTTCCCTGTGCCTGGAATGCTCTTCCCCAACCTTCTTCATCTAGCAAAACTTCTACCTGGTCTTTGGAGCTGAAATCAAAGGGTCCATCCTCTGTGAAGCTTTCCCAATGTCTCCTGCCTCTGGGATTCCCAACATCTTTTTATTTTCCCCTCTGTTCTCCTATAGAATTTATATCCATGTCCCTATGTTAGCATTATTATTGATGTGACTCTCCTTGACAGAAGGACTTGTGTCCTATTTTTTCCTTATAAGTTCTTTTAATGGGAGCTTTAAAAATGTTCAGTAAATAAAAGAACAAAGAAATGAAGCAAAGGTGTGGTTTGGGGAGAAGTTACCCTAATCTCCTTGTAGGATATGAATTGAGGAAACAGACTTTTCTAAACTTGGACTGTAAGAGAGATAGCAGCAGTCACTGATGCAGATAGGGAAACAAAAGGATTTTATAGTTAGTCATATACCAACTTGGAGCACTAGACCAGAGTGGGTGGGGACATAGGTCACCTTTCTGGCTACTGAAACCAATGATAGTTATAAAACCACCTCTCCTCAGCTCCATTACACTTCCATACCTGTTTTTCCTGTCCATGTATTTGGAAGGCTACCTGCCCCTTTTTATTTTGCTTTCTATGGCAAGTGATTTCTAGGTTAAAGAAGAAGAAGGAGAAGGCAGTACAAAATACTTGGTTGGCAATGAGGAAAATTGTGGCATTCTGGAGTTGTGATATTTATCAAAATCATAAGACTGATAGAGTCTTTATTAGCTAGTGAGAGGTTAAAAAAAGTTTTTTTCAGAATATCTTTAAATAAATGTCCTTTCCAATGATTATAAGGGTTTGTAACAGGGATTCACTTGATGCTTTGACTATATCTCTTGTGGCTTTGAAACTTAACATTTTTTTTTTCTTTTTCCAACCTTCTTCTCCCTGACCTTCTCCTCCCTGATCTTCTTTTCCCTAACCTTTTCTCTGATTTTCTCCAATCTTCTTTTCCCTGATTTCTCCTTCCTGATGTCTCCTCCCTAATCTCACTTTCTCAGAATCACCTCTGTAAAAATCCCCTGTTCCTGCTGATGAGCAAAATCACAAACCCAGGAGTCTTCTGGGTTTCTCCTTTGCAATAAACAGTCTTTTTACTTTTTCTCAAAACCATGTCTTCATTATTGGATTGGTGTGGGGGACAAGGACCGAGCTTTCTGCAACAAGTTGACATATTTGGGGGAATTTTAAAAATACCTTCTATTTTGAAATAATTATTGGTTCACAGGAAGTTGCAAAAATAGTGCAGGGGTCCTGTGTACCCTCACTCAGTTTCTCCTAATTATAACATTTTATATGATGAGTAATGCATTATCAAAACCAAAAACTTGACAGTGGTATAACCTACTGATCATTTAGATTTTATCAGCATAACATGAATGAGTGTGTATGGGAGTGTAGTTCCAAGTAATCTTACTGCATGCGTAAACTCCTGTAGTCACCACCACAATCAAGGCACAGAACTATTCTATCACTAAAAGTCACTGTAGGTCTGCAGAAAGAGCTCAGTGGTATAGCACTTGCCTAATATCCTCATCGCTGGGAGAAAAATTTTCTTGAGCTATCGCTTTATAGTCAGACCCATTCTCCTCTCATCTCCCCTAACCTTTGGGAATGTTTTGTTTTCTTATATGTGATGTTTCTCACTGATCAAAAAAAAAAGAAAGAAAGAACAGGTTCTCCCCTTGATTCATGTGCTATTTCAAATGTTGGAAGAAAGGAGCACACAATTAGAAAGTCGGGGCAACTTCTGTGCCCTAACCATGGATGGTAAAACAGAGATGTCCCAACTGGAACGATCATTATTCCTATAATTGGCTAGTTTCAAAAAAAAAAAAGTACACTGGCTCTGTCTAGATAAGCATGTGACATGGTAATTAAAACTAATAGGAACTCAAAAAATATTTTTAAGCAAGTACACTGATCCAACAGGGAGCAATGTGCCCCATAACGAGTTCCTAAGAGAAATGGGAAACAATTCTCCATTTGATCCAGAGGGCAGTTGTTTTTAAATTACTAAGGTTAGAGGAAACGGAAAAAAAAAAAAATAGAAAAGCTGGTGGGTCATCTATTTGATTTTCCTACTTATGCTTCCTTAATTTATTTCTCCAAGCAGGAAACAAAAACAAAAACAGACTGAAGTGCTGACTGAAGTCTTTCACTTGAAGTATCATAACTCTGATGAGCCCTCCCTTCCTAATTTCCCACCTGGTGCCCTCTGCTCACACTGTGCACTCTGTCTCCTGATGGGAGGGAACTGTACTACTCTTGTGGCCCCGTAGTGATAACAGTAGTTACTAAGGGGTGACAAAGCTCACCTTGACAGTAGGCACAGTGCTAGGATTTTAGTTGCTACATCCCATTCAATCCATTCAGCAGCCCTGTGCAAGGAGTGATCTCACTATCTTCATTTTATGCTTGAGAACACTTACATTTATAGAACTTAAATGTTTTGCTTAAAACGGGGGGTGGGGGGGTGGGGGGGGGCAATGCCTGTAATGCCAGCTGCCCCAGAGGCTGAGGCAAGAGGATCAAGAGTTCAAAGCAAACCTCAGTGAAAGTGAGGTACTAAGCAACTCAGGGAGACCCTGTCTCTAAATAAAATACAAAATAGGGCTGGGAATGTGGCTCAGTGGTTGAGTGCCCCTGAATTAAATGCCTGGTACCAAAAAAAAAAAAGTTTTGCTTAAGGCCAGTAGAAGGTGTGGGGTTTGAACTCTCATTAGTGGACCAGGTAGTCTGAGGCATGACATAGTCATCTACATATAGTTCTTTTTCTTTTTTTTTTTTTTTAATATTTATTTTTTAGTTATAGGTAGACACAATATCTTTATTTTATTTTTATGTGGTGCTGAGGATTGAACCCAATGTCTCACGCATGGCAGGCGAACGCTCTACCTCTGACCCACAACCCCAGCCCTACTTTTAAAATCTCCCTAGGTAATTGTATTGTGTTGACTCCTTGAAAAGCATTACTAAAAGATACTTTCTGCAAAGGAATCTCCTGTTACTTAAATGGGGTGCAGACACAAAGAGAACTGATCGATTTATGAGAGATGGTATTACTTCATAAAAAAATATATTTCTGATAGACAATGCAAAGAGACTGGTGGCTTTTGTCTGATGCTTTGGATGAAAATGTATTATTTTTTTAAAAAAAGATATTTAATTTTTAGTTGTAGTTATTTTTATTTATAAAAATAAATAAAATGAATATCTTTATTTTATTTATTTTTATGTGGTGCGAAGGATTGAACCCAGGGCCTCGCACATACTAGGCTTGTGCTATACCACTGAGCCACAACCCCAGCCTTGAAAATGTATTCTTAGATTATCTTTCTATATTATTTTTTGGTGTTGCAAGCACTTTCACCATAAAGGGAATTAAATTACTTTTTTTTAAAGTATTTTTTTTGTAGTTGTAATGCCTTTATTTTATTTGTTATGTGGTGCTGAGGCTTGAACCTGGTGCCTCACATGTGCTAGGCAAGCACTCTGCCACTGAGCCACCACCCCAGCCCATTAAATTACTTTTGTAGCTATGTTCTTGTTGTTTTTCAGTGCCCAAACCCAGGGACTTGCACATGCTAGGCAAGTGTTCTAGTACTGAGCTCCATCTACAGTCCTTTACTACTTTGTAGCTAGGAACACAAGTGTAGTTACTTCTAACACTGAGGTGGATTATATTTTGGCATGGTTCTGTATTTAAGTTTTTTGTATCTCCTTTTTTTTTGTGGCGTGGGGGAGTGCTGGGAATTGAACCCAGGACCTTGTGCATGCAAGGCAAGCATTCTACCAACTGAGCTATATCCTCAGCCCCTTGTATTTACTTTTCCTTTAAAAAGAGAACTTTATTTAATTTTTTTTTTAGTTGTAGATGGACACTATACCTTTACTTTATTTATTTATGTGGTACTGAGGATTGAACCCAGTGCCTCACACATACTAGGCAAGTGCTCTACCACTGAGCTACAATCCCAGTCCCCAAAAGAGAAAAACTTTAGAGATCAGAACTCTGGAGGGAACAAAATAAAATAAAGATATGTAATACAGTACAAAAAAAGTTTCCTTTAATATGAAACATATATTTTACAAATACGGATATGTAGTTGGTCTTAAAGAAATGTGCTTAAAAATAAATAAGACTTCCCTATAAGGAATGAATGCATGAATTAACATAAAAATGGTTTTGTACACACAGGTCAACAGAATCCTAAATGCAGTTGGCATTTCATTCACAAGGAGTTGGCCAGGGAAAGATTTCAAGACACACTTGATTTCAACATACCAAGCCAAACAGCTAATAAACCGCCCACAAAGAATGAAACTATTTTGAACTCGTCATTTGGCAAATACAAATTATAATATCTTAATATGCATAAAATTGTGTAAGGTTGAAAGTACCTGACCTTTTATTGAAAGGAGGAGGAGTCAAGGACCGGGAGAGACAGGGCTACAGTCTGTCCCTTGGGAACTTCCTGTTGTCACCACACCTCTGGATTAGATATCTGAGCTCACTGTGAGCAAAACCCCGAAGTGAAAATTCTAAGGCTCTGCGAAGTAAATTATCCTTCTGTGAATGTGACACACGCTCTCTGCAGTTCCATATGCTGAGGTTATTCTTACTTATCGGTTTGACATGCTTGGTGAGATCAGGTAGGTCATTTAGTGAATGGTTTTCTTAAGTATTTAAAAAATAGTAGTAGTCATCTTGCATTTATCATGCCATTTCCTTCAGTGAACTTTTTAAGTTCTATGGGATCATTTTTAAGGAAGACGGGGGTTAAATGCACTTTCTAATCTTGAAGATTTTTTTTTTCTCGGTAATTAAAGAATCTTTTAAAAATTAACTTTTGTACAAATGTTAAATATGCTAAAAATATAGGAAAATATATTTTCTCATAGCTAAAATTTTTGTGCTTTTTTCCCTCTATGAAATGAGATCTCTTATTATCTGGAAAGTTATTTATGTATTTATTTATTTTTGAGAAGCTGGGGATCAAACCCAATGCCTTGAAGCATTCTTGGCAAGCACTTTACCACTGAACTACGCTCCCAACCAGTACTTCCTGGAAATTTAAAAATTTGTTTTATTATATCCAACATGTACAGGATGGGTTTTTATGCTTTCACGTATTAAGGGAATATTTAAATTGCTCTTATAAAAATATAATTTTATATACATAAAGTTTATACAATGGTAACTGTCACATTGATGATTTTAAAAGTATTAATCATAATGAAGAAATAAAAATTAAAACACGAATATATGTGGTAAAGGAACAAAAATAAAGTGAAATGCTGAAATGAAAAAAAAAAAAAAAAAACCACCACCAACAACAACAAAAAAAACCTGTACCTGTCAGCCTTTTTAGGAATTTGATTCTTTTTCATATAGCTTGTGGTAATGAAGATTGGTGTAATTTTTGAATAGCAAGGGGAAAATATGTTATATATTAAGATTCATAGAGATGGTCATAACTTTTGAACTTATAAAACCAGTGCTGGGAATTTAAAGTAATAAATTTCTGGGAATCTTGAAGTAATAACTTTTACAAGAAAAAAAGGGATATAGCTCAGTGGCAAAGTTCTTATCTAGCATGTGGGAGACCCTGGGTTGGACCCCAGGAGGACAAAAATTAAAAAAGCTTCATATACGGGCTGGGGATGTGGCTCAAGCGGTAGTGTGCTCGCCTGGCATGCGTGCGGCCCGGGTTCGATCCTCAGCACCACATACAAAGATGTTGTGTCCATCAAAAACTAAAAAAAAATATTAAAAAAAAAAAAAAGCTTCATATGCAGAGATAATTCTAATTATATTGCTTATAGTAACTTGGAACTAGATACAACAGAAATGTTCTTACTTACAGGAATGGATAAAGTATAAATATCAGCTTGATTTTTTAAAAGTAACTTTTAAAATAATTCTGGTGCTCTGTAGAAATGTACAAACATGTTTTAAAAATAGTACAAAGCAGACAAAAACAACTCAAGTTTGTAAACTATCACTATGTTAAAAACTTGTAGGTATGCCTGTAAATACAAGTTAAACGGGAAATGAATAATTTAAAATACATTATTAGGATTTTGGTGTATAAATACATTTTTCTTAATAATGCTTTTGAGATTTTAATAAATTAAAATTATACTATGATGAAATTTTTAACTGAGAAGTTAGCATTTTGAGGTGTATATTATCATTTTTAAATTTAAAAATTGAACATAAATTTGGGGATATCTTATGGGAAAGAAGGCTAATCCTAACACAAAAACCTGTGGTGTTGGTGTTGTGGGTAGTTTCTTATATATATCTAGTGCAAATTTGGAACAATGATAACTTAATTTTTTTAACCTGTCTTTTTTTGGAAGGTAATACTGGGGATTGAATTCAGGGGTGCTCTATCACTGAGCTATATCCCCAGTCCTTTTTATTTTTTGAGACAGGTATCCCTAAATTGCTGAGGCTGGCCTTGAACTTATGACCCTCCTGCCTCACCCTCCCAAATCACTGGGATTACAGGGCTGCACCACTTCCCCTGGTTTATGACCCACCTTTTTACTTAACATCTCCTCCTAAATGAAGTTTGTTTCAGATGATTCTATTATTCTTTCTTTTCTTTTCCAAAGGTATTGACAGGGGTTTATTTTAAGAAAGCAGATATATATTCAAGGGGGAATATGCATTCAAGGGAGAATCCGGGCTATCCCCACAGGCAGAAAAATCTTCAAAGACTTTAGAAAAATGTCACTGCAGCATGATAGAATCTAAGCAAAGATAAAAAAACAATTAACTATAGCTAGAAGGAAAAAAAAAATATAGCCGCAAGCTAAAACTAGATTTCTCAGTGAATACAAAACCAGAACTTGGATCTTTGGCTGGGGAGAGTGTTATTCATGCAACCAATACCAGAAGTTATTTTGTTTATTAGTGTATATACAAATACTTTGACTTTTGATTTCTCCCTTCTTTTGTTTTGCAGTTGAAAAATGAGCAAATATTAAACTGGGAGTCAGAATTCCCAAGGTCACAAGTCATTCACCTTCAGAGATCTTTGTTTTGTTGTTCTTATCTCTTTTGAAGTTATGTTAGGAATGTTTGCCCTAATTTTACCAGTGAACAAAGCAATGGGTAGCTACCTTTTAAAGTGTACTAGAACCACCTGGGGAGATACTCCATCCTCAGAGGTCCAGACTCAGCGGGTCTGGGAGAGATCCCTAGAATCTGCATTCTTAATGCAAGCTGAAGGTTTTCAGCTGCAGATAGTCCAAGGAACATATGTTGATAAATATTGGTCTAAATTAAGGCTGTTTGTTGTAAGTATATTTAAATTTTACTTGGCTACTATATTTTGGCCTATGGCAACTGGGTAAAACTTGGTAGATATTTTTCCAGAGAAAACAGCTTAAGGTAGTTCTCCCTGATCCTTGGGGGATAATGTTTGAAAACATTTAGTGGATGCGTGAAACCGCGGATAGTATTAAACTTTTTTCTGCACATACAACCCTATGATAAAGTTTAATTTATAAATTACACACAGTGAGGCATTATAAAGTAGTTCAATTATATACTGTAACCAAAGTTTGTGAATGTCCTCTCAAAATATCTTACCGTATTGTACTATTATTTTGAGACCATGGTATATGGGGTAACAGAACTGGAAGAGGGGGGGACTACTTTTTACTTTTTTTTTTTTTTTTTGAGATGGAGTCTCACTATGTTTCCTGGGCTGGCCTCTCTCGATCCTCTTTGCTTCAGCCTCTTGAGGAACAGGGATTACAGGGAAGCACTAAGGGGAATCTACTTGTAGTGCCCCAATTAGGGAACTACTTTCTCAGATACTGGAAATGTCAAATGACTTGTAAGGTTTTGGCACGTGACTCATCTTTCTGTTACGTGGAGGCAAAGTGAGGTTGGAGATGTAAATGGGCGGATTTATGCACATGATTAATAAGAGTGAGCCAGGTGCGGTGACACACGTTTGTAATCCCAGCTACTTGGGAGGCTGAGGCAGGAGGACAGCAAGTTGGAGAGCAGCCTCAGCAATTTTGTTGGACCCTGTCTCAAAATACATTTTTTATTTTTCACTCTGAAAAGCGCTGGGGATGTAGATCAATGGTAGAGTGTCCCTACTCAGTACGTGGGGGGTGGGGTGGGGGAGGGATGAGAGAGATAAGAATGAGAAAATCTGGCATTGGTCTTGTTTTCAGGGTTGTATCCCCCTACCCCCAAATTCAACGGATTATTAAAAAAAAAGAAGTATCCTTGGAATCAAGAAGATATTCTGCCTCTGTGCTTCTTACCCATCTCTGTCCTGAGTAAAAGAGAAATAAGAAGTATTCCACTAGATTTGACCATGCAATCCCTTCACAATCTAGCCTGGGAAACCTTTTTTTTTTTGTTACTGGGGATTGAATCCCAAGAGTGCTCTACCACTGAGCTACATTCCCAGCCCTTTTTATTTTGAGGAAGGGCCTCACCAAATTATAGAAGCTGGCCTTGCATTTGTGATCCTCTTGTCTCAGGCTCCTAAATTGCTAGGATTACAGGCCTGCGCCCCTGCAGCCAGCCTGAAAGCTTCATTTTTAATAATAAGCTGACTCAGCCATGCTCAGAGGCTCACAGTGATCCTACCTTTATCTACTGACTCCCAGAGAATCACAGAGATTTTCTTTCACCCTGACACATGGGGGCATCTCAAGATGTTATTTTTTTCCCCTCAATTCCATCTTCTGTTTTTACAGAACCATTATGGATATAAGTAGACTCTCGTTTCTAAAGAGATTCTCCTTCAAAAATGGGGAATGTAATCAGTTCCTCCAAAAATAGGAGTTAAAAAGCCAGGGCTGAGTGGGATGAGGCTGAGGCAGCTGTATTTAGCTCCAGGGTAGTGCACCCTGTGAAGACACAGCAAAAGGACACCCAGGAAGTTTCTTTGGAAAGGGAGAGGGGTTGTCTGCGACTAGTCTTACCTCAGGGAATCAGTTTTCTATCTGATTGGGATCCACCTAATCAAGATTAGGGACTTTATTGGACCTACAGTGGGAGAGAGCCAGGGTCTCTCAACCTCAGCCTGCAGGGGAAAAAGAATGTGTTGGAAAACTGAAAGCCTAGGTCTGTTTTGACAGAAAAAGTAAAACTTTTGCTCTTAGTTACTTTCAATAGATCTCCCCTATTCCTGCCTCCATTTTGGTTTTTCCATGAAATTATAAGAACTATATTTTTGTTTTTTTGAAATGGGATCTCTATGTTTCCCAGGCTGGCCTTGAACTCCTGGGCTAAAGTGATCTTGCCACAGCCTCTCAAGTATCTGGGACTACAGTGTGTGCCACCATGTTGGATTTAGGAACTACATACGTATATTTGCACTGGGGGGCGTGTACTGGGTATTGAACCCAGAGGCATTTAACCACTAAGCCACATTCCCAGCCCTTTTTTTATTTTTTTTTTATTTTGAGATAGAGTCTCCGGTAAGTTGCTCAGGGCTTGATAAGTTGCTAAGGCTGATTTTGAATTTGTGATCTTCCTGCCTCAGCCTCCTGCCTCAGGCTCCTAAAGTCACTGGGTTTATAAGCATAAGCCAGCATACTTGGCAGGAACCATTTTTAAATAACTTGTTGTTGCTATCATCATCATCATCATCATCATCATCATCACC